CTTGAAAAGGGGGACTCGAATCACTAAATTATAACTCTTAAAGAAATTATAAGGTTCTAAGCTAATGGAAAGTTAATATRATACGATTTARTGATAGATTAGTTGACTTAGCAGCTATAAAATATTCACATCGAGTGTTTCACTTTTCAAGATGGCGGCCGCATTGTTCTCGGAAACTCCTGATGCATATATTCCTTTGCTGAAGCTCATCCAAGATGGCCGTTGTAACGTATATTGAAGTGGAAGAATTAAGAATTAAGAATTAATCATTATATTACTTCAGGACAAACCCATTATGAAGTCAGTAATAGCTCAAGTCCTGCTAGCATGTACACTGGTCTACACGAAGGATGGACCATCACCGTCTTCATCATTGCCTCCTCGATCACCGATTTCACCTACTACTCCATCAGTGATCACAGAACCACTGTCCCATGGTAAGGCACATTTCATGAGTAGGAAAATTCAATCGAGAGTGATTGCTCCTATAAGTCGTTTATATACTCGTTTTCAGTGTCATTTGGATTAAATACCGGCCCAGCAGTACATTAATGTTTTTTAGCAAGAATCAACACTTTTTAGTCGATTGCTAGTGAATAACGTAATTTTTCAATCTCGTTGTAGTTGCTTGCGATTTCAATGACGGATCGACGTGCAACTGGAAACAAATCAAAACGGATAACTTCGACTGGACGGTGAATGAAGGTCCAACTCCTGAGAGTAATACTGGTCCTGAGAAAGGCAGCGATGGAGGTGAGACCACTCATTAATGATCACTGCTATATGTATTTTCAGTAAAGTATGAACATTAAGAGTGTACTCAAATGACAGATGCAGATTGCATCATTTGTTGTTGACGAGACCTCTACCATAGCGAATATTGCTAATTAAATTAGMGTTCTCGTTGAGAAGCTTGAAGCTCTGGGCCGCAAGGTATCATGGATATCTACTGTTACGATTTGTAATCAAGATACACCGGTTTCAAGCTTTCAGGTTTTCTCAACGACATCACTTTTTGTGTGCAACTGCTTTGTATGGTGGTAATCCTTTATATGAATATAATTCCCATTAGGCAAGTACGCGTACATCCGGGTTCATGATCACAAGCTTGGCGAAAATGCAACGCTGATTCTGAGAGACTTCAGGTTGAAAATGAACACGTGTTTCAGCTTGATGTACCACATGTTTGGTCAAGACATAGAGACGCTAGAAATACGTCAAGACGGCAGGTTGTTGATGAGATTATCAGGGCCACAGGGGAACAAATGGAAGCTTG